ATGCCATTGTCTTTCCAAATAACTTTAAGTTTCGTAAAACAGACTTAAAGTTATTAAAATGATCAATAGAATCATAGTGAAACAAAAACTTGGCCATTATGTAAAATTTTTTCTTTTTTTAAAATGATTAGTATCTCGATAACTATTGCGAAGATCGCAAAATGGTAGAGGACTTTTTTGTTCAGTTTGGTCCACACTACCTCCCCACAAGCGCTGTATCATTGAGTACGAGACACCCTGTATATTTGAATAATACATGTATATGTTAATAATACATGAATTATAATACACATACACACACAATATATATTATATACAAATCGGCAGTTTTCACTTGTGTCATTGGAAAATATTTCGGTGTTACTTTTATCCAGTATTACACGATTGGGGGATTCAGAATGCAAAGAGAAAAATAAAGTTCACATAATTTGTAGATCGTATTTTGAATACAATTTTTGGATATTTGAAGCGTAGAAAATTATGGAATAAGCTCACAATGTTTGCACTGAATCGTTCAATCACTCCGATCGACCCAACATAAATATTTTGCGCTTGTTATAATTTTATTTAGGAGCGACTCGGCTCCGACCTGCGAATCTCCGATTCTCAATGAATGATCGTTGCCGTTGAGTGGCAATGACATTCGGGAAGATTACGGAGAACGAAAATGATCTCCAATCATTATCGCGTCCGCTCATTAATCTCATTCCATCCTAATCTTAAATACTCCCTGCTCTTGAGCTCAGTATTGTGCAATGTATACATTCCACTGCCCATTCTCTTTTCTACCGTACAGAATAATTCTTAATTGTACATCGATATAGAGATGTAAAAAAAAAACGTTTTCTTTTCTAATAGAAAAAACATTAGAAAAAAACGTGTTTTATTTCATTGAAAAAATACAAATTTGATTTTTTTTCTAATGCCGATAGCACAATTAGTTAATTGTAAATAGTAATTATATAATTAATTTTAATGTGATCTACATTTAATTTTTACAAAAGGAGAATCTTTATAATTGTTTTTCTAAACAGCTTTTCCTTAAGTAGAATTTATTATAATTATTCATTGAAGTCCTTGCTTCAAAATACATTTCAGAAACAATATATTGGCTTTTTCGTTCTGCGTAAAAGTTAAAATGATGATAATTTAAATCTACTATCTATGAAATGAAAAATCATGAAAAATTAACTTATATTAAGCAAAATATAGATATTATGTAGATAGCTGAAAAAAACAAAATTTTGAGAAAAAAACAAGGCTTATGTTTTTTTTTCTTAAAAAAACATTTTATGAAAAAAAAAATTTGGTTTTTTTTTTCTATTTACATCTCTACATGGATATCTCAGAAGATGAAGCCAGAAACCGAAACAAAAAGATGTCGTGAACGGTTTAGACTCATTTATTTTCGTATGATATCCTTTTCTTGGGCTCTATAATTCATCCTCTAAAATATCGACGTATAATTAAGAATCGTCCTGTATAAATATATATATAATTTTAGGTTTCATTTACACTTATCTTTTTTTTATAGAAGTTTACAATCCTTCCCTTTATTTTATATGCCATGAGGAAGAAGAAAAAAGTAGCATAAGTCAAAACGTACAATCATGCGGCGCGTTTTTTTTTTTCATACTTTTGTATATATATACTCAATACGAGACGAAGAGAAAAAGGAACTGTGACAAAATACATAATTTATATACCCCTCAGTATTTCGGGTTTGTTCTTTTCCAGTCTCCCCCCCCCCCCGAACTACACTCGCTGTAAATTGGCAGTATCGCTCTACACACAGTTTACGCAGCCACGTCGTTGATTTAAAAATTATCTTTATTTTCTCGTCGAAAATATAAATAAATTACAAAATATATATGTAGTGTCGGTGTGGTATGTGTGAATTGATATATTCGGAAGAGCGACGTTTCGTGTAAAGTTCGAGATATATATATATATATATATGTATTATATACCGCGATTCGATCGCCGATCACGTCCAGACGAGATTTTTTAGTCTAACGAGAAGCATCCCCTCACTGGACGTTTTCGGTGTTCAAGAGCGATTATTACACTTTTTTTTTTACCTTCCCTTCTCTCTATTTCCCTAACGAAGGTACGTATAATAAACGCGGGGTTGGATCCGTTTTCGTATTACGTTACCGGATCAGTTCGATGTCGATCTTTCGGATCAAGTTTACGGTTTAATTCGGTTCCCAAAGTTTTGCTGTCAGCTACGTGCGGAGTCGGTCCATGTGCAAAAGTCAAAAATCTCGATGACGACGAAGTCTAAGGTCCGCCTCTCCACGTTACACCTTGTTACGACACGACGACGACGACGACGACGACGACAACGACAACGATGACGACGATGATAAATCTTATTGCCTATCTTAAGTTACCGTTCTAAGAGGAATCCCGACGACTCGAGGGAATAAATTGAGTACAGGATTCGCGCCTGACCATAATGGCACATGCACATCACTAAAATACTAACCGCTAGAGACTAGGGGGAGGATAGCGTCACTACACGGTGCTCTCCGTGTCGGACGCCACGGAGAGCGTCTGCATCTTCGGCACGGAATAGTTCTCCGAGTGGCCGTGACTCTGCGTTCGGTTGGATACTCTCTCGAGGGTCGAGGGAGCTGAAGGAGTGTCCTGATGGGCCTTGGGAGGGATCGGTGGCGGGCTCACCTGTGAAAGAGAATTAATCTGATCATTGCTAGTGTCTGTTAGCCAATATATTATTTAGATATCTGTTGTGAAATAAAAACATGTGAAACAAAAAAAAATTAATCAAAAATACTAACAAGGGAACCTCGCGAAGTGTCAAATTCTGATTTTAATGAAACTTGGTACACTTTGAGGTCACATAAATAGATGAATTTAGAAATTATCAGTTGGTGCTCGGAAGAGCA